CAATTCGACCCTCAGCGACACGTGCTTCAGCAAAAACTCGTTGACAGAGATGTAGACGTCGTCGGTGGTAGAATCCTCCCTCACGCCGAGCACCTGGCGGATGGAGTGCTCTGGCCTCAGCGGCCTCACCAAATCCAGGTCGTCCTGGCGCAGGCAGGTGAGTCTGTCCGAGTTCTGTGTCAGCTCAGGCGCAGGTAAGTCCGATGAGGCCAGGGCGTGGACCGCGGCGCCATGCTCCGCGACGCTCTCGCCGAGGTCGAAGTTGCGCCGGCCGCCCGCGCGCCGCGCGCAGAGCAGCAGGGCCAGGAGGCCCGGGCGGGAGGCCATCCCCCCGAAGCCTGTAGTGAACAGACAACGACCTAGAGGGCCGGCTAAGAGGGCAAGGCCCTTGAGCCGACGCTGCTTGAGCCAAAATGGCTACGGATTCTTCTCTGAGAAGCTTGAGTCTTCTTGGATAAGTCGGGGGCCGGGGGCGAGACACCGCCTGCGAACTGCTACTCCCTGGGCCAGCGCTCTGGCCAGCGCTCTGGAGCGAACCCGGCAGCGGCGACGAGGGAAGGGTAAGGATAGATCGGCACCCTCGCCTCACCTGGCCCTGCCGCTCACTCCGCCTCGCCTCCTCACCGCTCAACCGTCCTCCCTCCCCCCCGCGCCCCCCCGCCCCTCCCCGCTCTCCCCCCCGACCTCGCCCCCCCCCCGCCGCCCCCGAGGTGCCTGCGCCCGCGGGGGGCCCGCGCTCCGCCATCGCCCCGCGCGAGCGCGCCGCCGCACGGGCGGGGAGGCGAGAGCAGGCAAAACCTGGGCACGGATCCAGCCAGAACGCAAAAACATACCGCGGGCTCGCGTGAGACGACCCCGCGTGCGGCGGCCTGGGACGCAGAGCGTACAGTCGGGTACTTGCGTAAGTCAAGCTTGGTAGGAGGCGTCGTGGGTCCACAAGGCCTTATGTCCAAGCTCGTATGTGAAGTCAAACTTGGCAAAAAACGTCACACCGCCATTAAAGGCCTGGATTAAAACATCCGGAGCTTACGTCCAGCCCGTTACGGTCGCACACACGGCATTGGTTCCTGACACCGCGGCTTTCGATCAACCATGAACAATCGGCTGTTTCCGAGACGTCAGATCGTTCAACATCGACCGACTCAGGGTCGCCCGCGGCGTTCAGCCTTAAGCGCCCGCCCTGGGGTCGTCGCCAGTCGACACGACGCGAATTTTCCGCAACCAACGTGTGCCCATTTTTCACGCAAAACACCACGGACGGCACAGCCACATCGCGAATCAAAGGGTCGCCATACAAACTAGGAACACTGCACAACACCGTGGCGCAAATCCAACCAGAGCGCAGACATATAACCAATGTGTTTTCGTTTTCTCGCGCGAAACACCACGGACGACACAACCGCGTCGCGAATCAGAGGGTCGCCAGGAACATTAGGAACACTGCCCAAGACGACATGCCATAGGAACGCTCACGCTATGAACAAGACCAACGTGTATCAACGTGACGCCGGTCGGGCGACCACATCAGCGTGCTGCTGTCAAAAAAGGGGCCAGATTTCTGCCCACACAATATGCTCGAGAGTGAATTGTCAACTCCACTGTTTGCGCAACCACCCCATCCACCCGCCCGCAACTTGGCTTGCAAAGCCCATGCGGCCGCGATTGCGATGAGTGCTTGGCGTTGGCTGGTGCATCTCTGCGGCCGCGCAAACCCGCGCATGCTCGCGCGCGAAGCGGCGAGCTAGTTTGGCGCGACCGACTCGGTCGCGGTGGCGGTCACCGCTGGGCACCTCCCAGCGGGCACTTCAGTGCGAGTCGGAGATTTGGGCGGGCGCGCTATCATGGCAACGTCGACAACGGTAGACACGATGATGGTAGCAGCGATGCAGGTGACGATAATGGCGACGACGCCAAGGCCAGTGACGGCGCCGATGCTGATCACGCCGACGACGATGACGGCGTCACCGCGTCGGTGGGGGTTTTGGAAGGAGTTCGACATGCGCGCGCGGCTGACGCGCGAGAGTGACCCGCATGGTGTGATTTAACACGGATCCCGCCCCCCCCCCCCAGAACGCACGCAGGGGCGTTCGAATGATTTCGCCATGCGGCGTAAGAATTTGCAGGAGCGCGAACGCAGGCATTTTTGAAAACTGATGTTGCAGACCCATTTGCCTGTATATGTTTTTGGGGGCACTCGATGTATACGATCTGGAACCCGAAGGTTATGGGAGGATTTCGGCATGCGCGCGCGGCGACGCGCGCGTGTGCACTTCGTCCCGTCTGTTGCGAGGGATTATTGCGACAGCACACGCGCAGGGGCATTCGAACGATTTCGACATGCGCGCGCGAGAGGCACGTTTGGTAGCAGTAGATGAACGTGTTGAAAACAACGGTTGGTTCTCGTAAGGATCTGCAAGAGCGCGAGCGTAGGCTTTCTTTCGAAAACTCTTGTTCCGTAACCATCAGTGTATGTTTTCGGGCACTCGTTTTCGAACCCCCTCACGCAACCAAAGCTGTGTTTCCCAACCATGCTGTGTGAAGTCGTCGCTTTGAAGAGAAAGCGCCCCGCGTCACTCACTCCTTCCTTCCTCCTTTCCATCCTCCCTCCTCCAACCACCATTATCATCAACATCATCATAAGCACTATCACAATAATCATCATCAACATCAGCATCAGCATCAGCATCAGCATCATCATCATCATCATCATCATCATCATCACCATCATCATCATCATCATCATCATCATCATCATCATCATCATCATCATCATCATCATCATCATCATCATCATCATCATCATTATCATCATCATCATTACCATCATAATCGTTATCATTATCATCATTGGCAGCGCCCGCATGGCGGCGCCGCCCCATTTTGGCACACCCCTCCACACGTTTTGTGGCCCCATAATGGTGGCTGTACCTCAGGCCCAGTGGCAGCGTCCGCATGGCGGTCCCGCCCCATGTCGGCACACCATTCACACTCTTTGTGGCCCCGTAAGGAGATCCACCGAAGGCGAGTCTAACAACGACGGTATTCACAACTGCATATGGTTGAGCCAGGCTAATGAAGGATTTCGGCATGGGCGCGCGACGACTCGCGCGTGTGCACTTCGTCCCATTCATTGCAAGGTAGATACTTCTGTCGACTTGTGATTTTTGGTAAACGAGTGTGCGCGCATGGTATTTTTCGCGATGAGGGAAGGCGATACCAGTTTAACTGGGACAGTATGAACTCATATCTGGGATGGACGACTGTGCAGAAAAAAAATCGCAACGAGATACGCGAAGGAGTATTGTCAAGTCCGAGGGAAGAGGGAATAGAGTCTATACTCTTTCAGCTAGAAAGGAGAAGTATGCGAGGCTGGCGACGAGGTGGCGACAGGGCGGCGACGGCGGCAACATAGCCGCCAGACGGACACACCGGCCCAGACGACGGGCGGCGACGAGGCGGCGACGAGGCGGCGACGGGGCGGCGACGGCGGCTACATAGCCGCCAGACCGACACACCAGCCCAGTTCGTTAGAAAATATTGCGAGTCCCCTCAGTGCCAGCACTGTGTTTGGGGAATTGACAGGATGGAGGGGGTGAGGAGCCTGGGGGAGCGCCTCGGAGAAGAAGGAACGCCGAGGGAAGGGAGGGAAGGGGAACGAACGAGATGGATGCCTCTTCCTCACCCTGCCCCGTCCCCTCCCGCGCTCCGCGCCCGCCTCGCGAGATCGTCGCCCTCACCCCTCGTCATGCGGCTGCTCTTACTCGCCCATCTCCGAGCCCACGCGCGCTGGTTTTTTCTTTCGCCGCAAGGTGCACTGGCGCAGCTGTCCGGGCAAAGGCCGCGGCAGAATGAAACACTGGTATGCCAGACAGGGAGGACAGAATGCGATGGCTTCTCGTGCTGCTGGTGATGATCTTGTTAGTCGCCCCATCCAACCACGCCGTCGTTCCCCACGCGGCACTCTCCTCCTCAGCCCCCTCCTTCCTCATCTACTCCGTCCTGACTCTCCTGCGCATCTTCCTCCTCCTCCTCCTCCGCATCCTCTGCCTGCCCATCATCTTCCCAAACCTTACCCCGCCGATGATGATGTCGCTTCTCCTACTCATACCCCTGTTCATCGCCATGGTCGTCCTCCGGAAGTTCTGATCCATCTGCACCGGCCAACTCGAGAACACGCGTCAATGCCAATGACCTCGAAGCGCCACCGTGCTGTGCACGTGCTCCCCCTGTTGCGAACCTTGCCAGTTCTCTGCGTGCTGTCGTGTATTAGTCCACCCTGTGAGCAAATCCCTACGCATCCACCTGATGGGGATGAAAAATATGCAGAGGCGCCGATCTTAAGATTCTGCGCTTGTGCATGCAAGGGAGGCGCCACCAGCCGAAGCGCCCCCAGTGCGACTACACTAGCTGTTACTCCATTAAGCTGCAGCTTCAACGCCCAGAAAGAATGGCTCCATGGCTATGCATGGGCAAACACGGCGCATGGCAGGCGCAAGGATGACAGTCACTACGAGACTCAGGCCGCGAAGCAGTAGTATGCCACCTATTCGGCGCCAATTGCAAGGCTGATCGTCATGATGATGGTGCTGATGATGACCAGCTGCAACAGAAGGAGGGTTACGAGTGTGCAGCGTTCCGCGCAATGAACATCGCTGATGGCCAATGGTGCCCTGCCAACTGAATCGACAATACTACCGAGTAGTTCTACCACCGCATGTGCGATCTTGACGATCTTTATCTCCATACCATCCTCTGCTGATGCTCCTCGCTATCATTCATGTTTTCTTCCTCCTCCAGCTCTTCCTCCTCCTCCTCCTCCTCCTCCTCCCCAATTGCCCTGATGCTCCTGATACGTCTTCCCCTCCTGCTCGATCTCCAGCAAGACTCGGGCGACCGTCACTTTTTTGTCTGTGTCCAACTCTCGATGTTTCAGCTCATTCTCCACTAGATCCGCTCACCGTGCCGGCGAGCGTACAGCGCGCGGGCGCTGGCCCCGTGAATTAGGAGGGGGAGGCGGACCGGATGCCCAGAAGTTGGCACCAACACCAACACCGGCTGTCGCATCCACCGAGGAAACATGGACCCCACCGACCTCGGCGATGGTGGTGCTCCACCTCCATGCATATGAGGGTAGGTGTTGTTCGGACCTTGGCCCGCCGCAAATCCCGACCCTTCCCCAACGCGAGTTCTCTCATTCAGGCTCCTATTTCTTGCAGGTGCTGTTGCAGGAAGAAGACCCCTCGCAGGTCCGAAGTGATGACAACCTGCCCCCGGATTCTCTCAAGACGCTGGAGGTCTGGGCCCCCCAGAGGGGCGACGAGAAGGGGGAACCTGCTCCAAGGGAGGGGGGGTCATCGACATGGAAGCGGCGATACGTCCCCGGATAGCAAGACCGCGCACTCCTGAGCGAGGTGGGCTCTCGCGCCCAATCGGAGATCAATGGGCGATTGGGGGTCGATGCGTCCCGCCTGAGCCCATCCACCCTGACGTTGCCCGAATCTCGGGGATCTACTGACCCGGGTCAATCCAGACCCGCGTCAGTCAGGCCCTGCAGGATCCTGCACCCAAGCCCCCGGTCCATGCAGCCCCGGCCCTGCAGGATCCTGCAAGATCCGGCGCCCTGGCTGACCCCCGTTTGCAGTGACCCCCGTCCCTTGAGCCCCGACAGTCTCCCCCTCGGATGTGGCCCCGTGGACCCGTCCTGGAGCGCATGGCGTCCTGGTGCTCGTGTGCCAACGTCCAGGCCTTCAGCGAGGAGGTGCCCGGCGAGGGGCGAGCGGCGGGGCTCGGCGGGCGCCGCGAGAGCGTCCCGCCGCACCGCCCCCCCCAGGCTCCCCGGGAGGGGAGGCGCGCGAGGGGCGCCCGAGGTTCAGGGCCCCGCGAACGGGGACACCGAGGCCTCAGAACCTTCTTTCTGGAGAGCGCGCCCCCCCCCGCACGCCCCCTGGGGGGAGGGCAGGGGCACGCGCGGAGTCCGCTACCGCAGAGTCGCCAGCAGGTCGCGGAGGACGTCGGTTGCCCCCGCCGTCGGGTCCACGCCAAGACTCACGGCCAGCCGCTCCACGTCCTGAGGACGTGTGTCTCTGCCTCCTGCTCCCCTCCACCATCGTCCTTCTCCTCCTCCGCCTCGCCTGCAACTCCTCCCCTCCTCCTCCTCCTCCTCCTCCTCCTCCTCCTCCTCCTCCTCCTCCTCCTCCTCCTCCTCCTCCTCCTCCTCCTCCTCCCCCTCCCCCTCCCCCTCCCCCTCCCCCTCCTCCTCCTCCTCCTCTTCCTCCTCCTCTCCTGATTCGGCACTCCTCGTATATACTCCTACTCGGACATATCGCCGGCCGATCGCCTACCAAAGTGGAGCGTTCCACCCGACATGTTCGAAGCAATACAAAATCGGCACTGTTGCTGTCAACGTGGACATGTTGTCGTCCACGTTGAGATATGCGGGGCCCGAGTGTGACGGCGCGCGCGTCCCACGCGAAAGGGCAAACTTTCGTTCACGCTTCGGCGCCGCGCAAATTTCGCCTGAAAACGGCGTTCCCGCCCGGCGCGGCGCATACTTTTCACTCGCCAGTTTTGGGTTGTTACCCTCGCCCACACTGCGTGCGCACACCCGCTCCGGTAAAGGCGAGCCCGCGCGGGCACGGTGCATGATCCGTCCATCGAATCGCATGAATGCGCCAGCGGCCGCGGGCCCGCGCAGCTCGCTAGTGAGAATGGCAATGATATGCCGGCACGGCGCACGCTTCGTTTTCGCCACGTTCATCGGAGGTTTTGCTGTCTCCGCCGCTGCGCGGCCCCAGTCGTATTTCCATTCGCCCCGTCGTCGGACGCGGGGCCGCGCGCGCATTCCGTTTGCGGGGTGGGAACGCGCTGCAAACCCGACGCCAAATTGCGCCGCAATTGGGCGAGAATGGGCGGGACCCGCTGGCTTGCTCGACCTGGCTAATTTGAAACTCGTTCTCTATACGTGTGTACTCCGACTCTGCCCATAAGCCCGACCGATCGCACCCGTCCAAGCACCACCTTCCGATTTGTGTTATAAATCATTGTTATGATCATACGACCACCCTTCGGGTAATAAGGAGGTTCGGGGGGGGGAGGAATCAACGTCTCACTCGATCGGTTTCACTATCGAGCTCACTATCGATCTCACGATCGATCTCGCTCGATCGATCTCACTCGATCGATCTCACAACCGATCTCACTCGATCTATTTCATTCGATCGATCCCACAATCGATCTGACGATCGATCTCACAAACGATCGCACGATCGATCTCACAATCGATTTCACAATCGATATCATTTTCGGTCTCACTATCGTTCTCACTACCGATATCATAATCAATTTCACAATCAACGTCATCATCATCATCATCATCATCATCATCATCATAAACAACATCGTCATCAACGACATCAGCATCATCAACATCACCCTCATCATCGGGACACCATCATCATCACCCCATCACCATCATCATCAACATCATCATCATCATCAGCATCATCATTATCACGACACCATCATCGTCACCATCATCATAAACATCATCAGCCTCGGGCCACCATCATCATCGGACAGATACCACCATCATCATCATTTCATCATCATCATGAACAACATCATCATCGGGACACCATCACGATCATCAGCATCATCATCATCAGCATCGGGACACCATCATCATCGCCATCAAAATCAACATCATCAACATCGCCAACATCATCCTCATCCTCATCATCGAGACGACATCATCATCACCACCATCACCATCATCATCATGATTATCGCAACCTTCATCAACATCATCGACATCATCATCATCATCACCATCATCATCATCATCATCATCATCATCATCCTCACCATCATCATCATCATCATCATCATCATCATCATCATCATCATCATCATCATCATCATCATCATCATCATCGGGACACCGACGGGACACCGGCGGGACACAGGCGGGACACCGCGGGCCACCAGACGCCAGTCCGGAATCATTTGATCCGGGTTCACCTCAGCCGGAGGCGGGACACCGGCGGGACACCGCGGGCCACTGGACGCCGGTCCGGAATCATTTGGTCCGGCCGCGCCTCAGCTGGAGGCGGGACACTGGCGGGACACCGCGGGCCACCAAACGCCGGTCCAGAATCATTTGGTCCGGCCGTGCTTCAACTACAAGAGACTTCCTTCTCGCCCGCCCACGCAGCTTCGCCTCGCCCGCACGCGCGGCACGCACGAACACGAAACCGATATCGATTTCCCGGTAGGGGTGCTCTCCGTTCCCCTTCGATCTCACCCCCTTCACCTCCGACAAAACAATACCTATACGACCACCCTTTCGGTGATAAAGATGTTCGGGGAGGGGAGGAACAAACGTCTCACTCGATCGGTCTCACTATCGAACTCACTATCGATCTCACCATCGGTCTCGCTCGATCGATCTCACTCGATCGATCTCACAATCGATATCACTCGATCTATTTCATTCGATCAATACCACAATCGACCCGACGATCGATCTCACAATCGATCTCACAATCGATCTCACCATCAATCTCAGAATCGATCTCACATTCGGTATCACTATCGATATCACAATCGATATCACAATCGGTCTCACAATCAACGTCATCATTATCATCAGCGACATCATCGTCACCAACGTCATCAACAGCATCACCATCGGGACACCATCATCATCATCACCCCATCACCATCATCATCAACATCCTCATCATCACCATCACCATCATCGGGACACCATCATCGTCACTATCATCATCATATACATCATCAGCACGCTACCATCATCAGCATCATCATCACCATCATCGGACACACCACCATCACCATCATCTGATCATCGTTATCATGAACAACATCGTCAACATCATCATCATCGGGGCACCATCATCATCATCAACAACAGCATCACCATCAAGACCATCATCGGGACGCCATCATCATCGTTACCATCATCATCACCATCATCATCACCGGGACACCACCATCATCATCAACAGTATCACAATCGTCGAGCCACGACCATCAACATAATCATCACCTCAGCATCATTCTCATCATCAACATCATCATCATCGGGACACCATCGTCATCATCATCATCATCAACATCAACATCATCATCCGGGCACCATCTTCATCATCATCTTCATGGGCATCATCTCATCATCATGAACACCATCAGGATCATGGATGTCATCATCATCGGGACGCCATCATCATCAACAACATCAGCACCATCAACCACATCATTATCGGGACACCATCATCATCATCACCATAGCCATTCTGATCATCATCATCATCATCGCCATCACCACCATCATCGGGGCACCATCATCATCATCGCTCTGATCATCATCGGGACACCGTCATCATCATCGGAACACCAGTATCATCATCATCCCATCATCATCATCATGCACAACATCATCCAAATCAGCATCACCGGGACGTCATCATCATCATCAGCAACATCATGATCATCAACATCAGCATCATCGGGACACCATCATCATCGTCACCATCATCAATATCACCACCATCATCATCATCATCGGAACACCACCATCATCAACATCAGCATCATCATGATCGGGCCACCGCCATCAAAATCATCATCACAACCTCATCATCATCCGCATCATTAACATCATCCTCATCATCAACATCATCATCATCATCTTCATCGGGACACCATCATCATCGACACCATCATTATCAACATCATCATTACCAACCTCATCACCATCATCATCGGGACACCATAATCGGCATCATGATCATCTGCATCATCATCATCCTCTTTTTATATCACCATCATCAACATCATCATGATCATCCACATCATTGTCATCATGTTTGGGACACCATCATCATCAACACCAACATCATCATCAACAACATCATATTCGGGATACCATCATCATCACCACCATGGCCATCATCATCATCAACAACATCGTCATCATCATCATCATCGACATCATCAACATCAGCATCATCATCATCATCGGGACACCGACGGGGCACCAGCGGGACACCGCGGGGCACTGGTTGCCGGAACGGGGACTTTTTGGTCCGACCGCGCCTCAGCCAGAGGCGGGCCATTTCTTTCCCGCCCACACAGCTTCGCCTCGCCTGCACGCACGGCACGCACGAACACGAAACCGAAACCGATTTCTCGGTAGGGGGGCTCTCCGTTCCTCTTCGATCTTCCCCCCACCACCTCCGAATTATGAAAAAATATTAATGATACGAAAAATGATGGTAATAATTGTGCTGATAATACTAATAATAATAATAATCGTACTAATAATAATAATGATAATAATAATGGTAATAATAATAAGAATAAGAATACTGCCAATGATAATAATAATCATATAAAAGAGAAGCTCCGGAAAACAAACAAAACACGACCGAATAAACACGTCAACGGCTTACGTCTCCACACGGACATTGCGTCGCCAACGTGGCGCGCATCCCGCGAGCGAGGCCGGAATGCCGCTCCCTCCTCGGCGCCGCGCTTGTGTTTCTAGAGATGTGGTTCCCGCTCGTGCGCGGCGCATATTTTTTCGCCCGCGACTTCGTCGACGCACGTGCGGGGGCGCGCAGATTTCGCCTGAAAGTGGCCCTCCCGCCCTGATGGGGGGCACACCTTCACTCGCCAATATTTGGGGCTCCGCGCTCATGTCGCTTGAAAGTGGCGGGCGTGGCGCATGGCTCGTCCGCAGAATCGCGCAAAGCGCCAGCGGCAGCGGGGCCGCGCGAGAGCGGGCGAAATGCCAACTTCGCCCGAGCGCCACGCAGCTTGTGAGTGAAAGTGGCAGTGCTGTGTCAGCGCGGCACGTGCTTTGTCCTCGCCGCGCTCATCGAAAGTCTGCCGCTCCCGCCCCTGCGCGGCCCGTGTAGCGATCCCTTCGCCACGTCGTGGGACGCGGAGCCGCGCGCGAGCGCCTTCCGCTTGCGAGGTGGGAACGCGTTCCAATCCCAATGCTCGATGGTGCCACTCTTGATTCCTATCCTGTGGGAGGGAGGCTGGGAGGGTACAGGTGGTCCTCTGGCTCGCTCGCGCTCGACCTTGCGAACTTGCACTGGCTCCGCCTCCTCTTCCCGTTGGGCATTGGGCTGTCTCTATTCCGTGAAGCTGGAGATTTGCCCCAATACGTGTTTGTCTGTTCCTCTTTTACGTCTGCATTCGACCCCATCGTCGTATCCCTACCCTCTTCCTCCTCCTCTACCGCTCATCATCATCCATATCCTACCACTCATCCAACTCTTCATCCGTCCCGTTCGTCCTTATCCGCCTCGGCATCCTCCGCCTCCGCATCCGTCCTGGTCAGTCCACTCCCTCTCCACTTCATCTGCACTCGACCAGGTCATTGTCATGCTTCTCCATATCCCTCCTCTTCCTCTCCTCCTCCTCCTCCTCCTCCTCCTCCTCCTCCTCCTCCTCCTCCTCCTCCCCACCCACCTGATCCTAAACATTCCTCCTTTCAATTCGGTCTGATCCTTCTTCTCCTGTTCCCGCCGCATGCCTCCTGCATCCTTCTCCTCCTCCCCAGTCGGTCTGATCCTCCTTGTCATCATCGCCGTCGTCGTCGTCGCGGTGGTCATCCTCCTCCACCCCCTCACCCCCCTCCTCCTTATCCCCCTCCCTCCTCCTTCTCCTTCTCCCCCTCCTCTCCTGACTCGTAACGAGCCTCATCCTACTCATCCCTCCTCCCCCTCCCCATTTGCAATGATCCACCCCATCCCCAGCCTCCCCCCTCCTCTTCAGACTCCTCCTCCTACGCCTCCTCCTCCTCCCAACATCTCATCCTCATCCTGATCCTCATCCCCTCCTTCGCTTCCTTTCCACCGAGCCATCAAACCTGATCCTCACCCTCCGCCTCTTCCTCCTCTTCCTCCTCCTGCTCCTCCTCACCACTGTCCCCCTCCCACTTTGGGGAGGACGAGTAGGAGAAGAGAGGAGCAGGAGCAGGAGAGGACAGGAGGACAGGGAGCAAGAGGGAGCCTGGAGACGAGGGAGGAGGGGAGGATCGCCAGAAACAGACCACCAGCCTTAGCGCTTCGACCCTCCTGGCCTTAGCCAGAGAGATGGTTTTATCCACCGACTCAGGGTCAAGAGCAGAATTTGCCAGGGTTTCTAACAACATCCGCAACATCCGCCACCAAGTTGTCCAGGAGTTCCCAGGGCTCGGGAGGTTGGCAGAGCCGATATCCTGGCACGCGCGAGCACGACATCACACCTTCCTATCCTACGCGTTCGGCGACTGAGCCTCCGTTACCAGTCGGCCTTCGGATGTCATGCTTAGCCTTCGGCGGTCCGAGGCAGCCCCAGAGATCTCTGGCGCGAGTGCTGGGCGACTGCGCTCCACTAAGGCTACATTATCGAGCCCTCGCCTTTCCGCTACGCTAGAAGACGAACAGCAACCATGAACAACAAGTTTCGGAGCTCGGCGCCAGGGGCGCCACATTGGGGACCTGGCGCAGAGTCAAGAACTACGCGCGGATCTCCGAAAACGCGTAGCACGCGGAGCGCGCCAGGGGCGGCGCCGGAGGCGCCGCCGGGGGGGGCCCAGAGCGGATCCCAGAAATCCGCGCGGAGCGCCAACAGTTCATGTTTATGGCGCTTTGTTATTCTTCGAGAGCGCGTTTCGACGCAGGGCTCGCTGGCCGTGCCGGCAGCTCTGGCGGAGGCACGGGCAGAACAATGATCGGGGGGTCGCGTTGCGTCCCCCCCCCTCCGGAGCCTATCGCGTTGCCCGTGGTGGTCTTCGGGGGCCATGCCTCGGGCCTCTGGCGGCCGCGTTTGGGACGAGCCGTGCACCCCCAACTCCTCATCATCCTCCTCCTCCTACTCCTCCTCCTCCTCATCCTCCTATCCCCCTTTCCCGTAATCCCCCTCCTCTCCCCCTCGATATTTCTGTCGGCGAGGCGCAGCTGCTGGAACAAAGCCCCGAGGCAGGCGGACCGACGAGAACCAAGGACAAAAACGCCTAAGGACCGAGAACCTCGACTCCGAGAGAGTCGCCCCCCTGAGCCTATCCCCTCCAACGCTGCCCTTGGTCGGCTGCAGTCGAGGCGTATCATAATAGCGCATGACAAGGAAGCAAGGGCCTTGGAAGGAAATGTCGACACCTTTCGAGAGGGGCGCGGCCAGCGAAGGTGGCCGAGGATGAGTCGGAGGGGCAGGATGCGATGGCAACCGTGGATAGGTGCTCATTCTTACGTCTACGCGTTTGGACTGCACTTCCCCTGCTAATGCTGCCCCTGACGGTGACGGAAGGCTCCGCGTCCTGGGGCAGCTCCCGCTGGGGCGCCCCCCGGGCAGCCGCCGCCTCCTCGTCGCCATCGACCAGCTGCGGGTCGCCCAGGAGGGCCATGGCCAGGTGCTCGGTGCCCTCGGACAGGTAGGGGTTCCCCCTGCGCCTCCCGGAGGAGGAGAGGGCGAGGACCCGTGCAGGCCTCCAGCGCATCGAGTACAGCGGAGGCCCGTCCACAAGAAACCTTCGGCGAGAAACCCTGCCCTGAGACACCAGGACGCCCAGGGATGTCTGGTGTGGGAGCGCCACGCTCTCCATGGCAGAAACGTCGAAACCCAGGAAGCCCAGGGCACCGGGGAGGCAAGCAGGGCGTCTCTTGGCATGGGCCTCCGCTGCATAACTCACCTCGGAGGCCTTCCTCCGCTTCCGGCCTCCGTGGGCCCTCGCGGGGCCGCCCGGGACAGTCAGACGACTGCCCGGGAGGAAAAGCTGGCCCCGGGGAGAGGGCCGACCCTGCAAAGGATCGCTACACTGAACGAATCCGTGCATCGGCGATCTGTGCACGAGACCTCCAGCGTCGCGAGAGAATCGCCAAAGACGAGTTTCCACGTGCTCGTCCTCGGAGATGGGGGGCGAGGATGGGCTGCGGGGGGCTGCGGGGAAGTTTCGGCTTCGAGGTCGGAGGTCTTCGGAGATGTTCGTCGGCTCTCGCTGGCTGTCCAGCCTCGGGATGCTCTCCAGCAGCTGCGTCTGGCCGAGATCGTTCCCGAAGCGCCCGGATCGTCCCCAACGGCTGCCAGAGAGCCAAGTTACGGAACCAAGGGGCAACGTTGGGGAGGGGTTCCCCCTGCGCCTTACGTGGGATGGGGGACCCATTTCATTCTCCATACAGACCACTCACGACTGGGATCCCCTGAATCAGAATGCAAACAAAAAAGCTGAACAAAAACACGAATACACAACAACAAGGTGCGCGACAAAAGACAATGCCCAGTTGTGCGTCTTGGGGGGTCACTTTTTGTTGCACTATTTGTCGGAGCAGACTCCTCTGTGCTTTCATCGGGAACATGAACATCAATATGCTCGTGACACTTTTCGTTACGCCTGTTTGTTGCGCATGTTCTGGATTATTGTTGTATTGTTGTTGCACCGCTTTGTGCTTTGTACATTGGCTGGTAAAGGAGCTCATGTCCTTATCACGAGGCCACGGCTGTAAAACCTCCAGCGTCGCGAAAGGATATGAACGGCCAACTTTCCATGTGCTCGTCCTCTGGTTGGCCTGTTTCGGGCACCCGGGGCCCTCAACGACACATCCGTGTTGAGCCATGACTGCCCGCCCTGTGGGGGCGAGCGCCGCAGAAGAGCAGTGACGTTGGAGGGGAGAGAAGTGCTCCCTTTTCCTCCTGCTCTTTCTCCTGCTCTTCCTCACCCTCCTCTCTTCCTCCACCCGATTCCTGATTCCTGATGGCCTGCAAATTCGTCGAACGCGGCCCGCGTTCCTCCACCTCCTCCTCCTCCTCCTCCTCCTCCTCCTCCTCCTCGGTCGGTCGACCGGTCGGTCGGTCGCTAAGGGGTGAGCCTGAATCCCGATCAGAAAATGACACAGAGCGGCAGCAAAGATAAGTTATCTTTGCTGCCGATCGCGGCATCGGGGTGTGCCTGAGAGAGACTTCCCGACAACACTCCATGAGCATCATGGGCGCGCGAGGCGGAGCGCCTCGGAGACCTTTGGTGAGGCCCCTGAGAGAGAATAGGACATGTACCTTCTATCAGTGGCTTGGCATGGCCGCCCCGACCGGGGCCCCCCAACCACAAACCAGTGTCCCAGGAACCCAGGCACGCGAGATTTCGCCCTGAGGCCCACGGGGCCATGGACGCCTGCCACCGATAAGTACGCATTGAGACCTGAGTCCGCACACGGTTGCAAGAAATCCTTGGGCTGGCGGCCCGCGTAGGAGCCACAACGTCGGCAGAAGACTGTGTCGAGGCCCGTGCACCGAGAGTGGGCGACTCTGAGCTCGTGCGGAGAGGCACCCTGGGGGACAAGGGGGCGCCAGAAGGGCGGCCAAGGGGGACACCAAAGGGACACGGGAGCGCCACGGGGACACCAGAGGGAGAGAGCCGCCCACACGAGCTGGTGCTGCCAGCTTGCCGCGGAGAGGTCGAGTCGAGCACGGCCTCCTGGCAAAGATCCCCGCACATGTGTTGATGGCCTGCGCTGGTCCTCTCGAGCCTGCGCCAGCCTCTCTTACCGCTAATAAATATCTGCCAAGCTGCTCCTCCTCCTCCCCTCCTCCTCCTCCTCCGCCTCCTCTTCCTCCTCCTCCACTCCTCTTCCGTATAAATAACTTCTCCCTGTCACACACCGAGGCCTGTCGAAAGGGCAGGACCCGCGTTTCGCCTGAGACGTCCTTAGCATTTATGACCCTGAAGCTTAACCATGTACAACAGTTTCACAGATGGAGGGCGGGCCGTTTTCAAAATGTGGCTCTCGCCCTAGCGTCGCGCGCATTCGTTTGAACAGTGTGCCAAGAGCTTCACGGATTCAGGACAGTGCCTTTTCAAAATGCGGCTCTGACCTTAGCTCCGCGCACACCCCATGTTACAAATTACAAGGGTTTCACGGGTTCCCATGGTCAACGTACCAGAAATGGTGCTTTGAAAAGACTCAGGATTATAAGGGTGCAACAATTACGTGGATTCGCGGTGTTTGAGGTTCCCGGAATGGTGGCCTGGCAAGATACAGGATCGTCGAGATGCAATAGTCAAGTTGATCCGTGTCGTTGGAATCACGGGAATAATGTTTTGGCATGCGTCTGTAAACGGTTGTCTTCCAACGGTTCCCTCAGTGGACATGAATCCTTGTAGGGGCCTATGAAGAGGGAGCTTGGAGGGTGGGTTGCTGACTCTTGGGTTTGCACAGGTTCTCCTCCTCCTCCTCCTCCTCCTCCTCCTCCTCCTCCTGATCATCATCGTTCTGCTTCCTCCTCCTTCTCCTTCTCGTTATTCTGTTTCTGGGGCTTCAGGGGCGCCCATCGGCTGGACGCGGCGCCGAAGACGGGCCAGGAGGGTGCCAGGAGGGATCCGGGAACCGGTCCTGAACGCACTGAAAGAAGGAGGATGAGGAAGAAGTCTCGCGTGTGAACTTACAGGATCAAAGCAAAACTGTACGCAAGTGGTTCGGATCCAAAGCCTTCCAAGAAGGAGGAAGGCAGGAGAGGGAGAAAATGAAGAGCAGGAGCGGCAGCAGGAGCACGCATCTGTGCAGCAAGACGGCGGCACCCGCCACGCATCCACAGCACCAGGAAGTCATGGGAGAAGAGGTGAAGGTACCAAAACGTATCGATGCAGCATCTTGGCCGCGCCTTCGCATCGCAAGGTTGTGGAGCCCCTCGTGGCAGACGAGCGAGGTCAGCGCCTTCAGCGTGGCCCGCTTTGTGCCGCACACGAAGATCTCGGTCAAGAAGTTGGTGTCGCCCGAGCTGATTGCCAGGCACTCGTCCCAGGAGTCTACCTTTTGCTTCATATCGAACCTGGCATCCGTCCCCCGATGCTCTCCCTCGTGCCCGTGTCCTGCTCCTTCCACCACCACCTCCTCCTCATCCATCTCCTCCACCTCCTCGTCATCTTCTTCCTGCTCCTCTTAGTCTTGCTTCTCTCCCCTTGCGTCATCATCCTCCTCATTGCCGTCCGCCTCATCCTCCTCCACCTCCTCCTCCTCCTCCTTCTCCTCATTGTCCTCATTCTTCCGTTCTTGCTGCATCTGCTCGAACTTTGCGTCGAGCTCACCCTTGGTCGACTGACTTGAAATACAGATCCCCCTCCACAGTAGGCAGTCGCGAAGAAGTCGCCATGCGAGCTCAGCAAATACCAAACTAAGCAAAATAATCAAACTGTTCCCGCTCCCATGGCTCCTGCTCCTGCTCCTGCTCCTGGAGCCGGGGGAGGCTGACGAAGACGAAGACGAAACGACGACAACCACGACGACAAGACGATGGCAACCACAACGACGACGACGACGACGACGACGACGACGACGACGACGACGACGACGAC